CCGTTGGTAAATTTTCAGCGATAACTGAAATCGTTTTATTTTTATTAGCTTCATCAGGTAATAATGGACATACATGTTCATGAGGCAAAAAATGGAAGACTAACATACACAAATTGTACTACAAACTGCAAGCAAACCCGAAATGTTAGAGCAATTACGGGGAGGAAAGTGGTCGGGAGGGAAGAGTGAGAGGAATTTACCTGATTAATGCTTTGGTAGGGTGTTAAAACATTCCCTGACGTACATGTTATGCTGCTCAAGAAATGTACTTCTCAAACTCATTAATAATTCATTAAGAAAATACATAGGAAATTAATGTTTAATGAGTGTTTGGAAATCGGATGAAACACTGCTTAGTATTTGCATCCTTAATTTCTCCTTCAAAAATGATTTTGTTTGAGAAGAAATATCAAACATTCGACACAGTGTTTCATCACCAGATGAAACACCTCGAAGTTCGTCAAAAATACTCCGCTGCGCGTCGTATTTTCAACTCTCTTCTCGGTGTTTCATCTGGTGATGAAACACTGCATCTCATGTTTGATATATTACATGAAGTGCTTTGTTATTGAATCAAACCAGCTGTGCAGTGAAGGTCATGAAATTTTGGTTAAAAAAGAACCTTGTCTACTTGTGGAACAAATGCTGCATGGCCGAAGAAAAATAATAAAATACATCCACTAAAATCTTATTTAATCTTAAGCCATTGACTATCGTTTGCGCTTTGTGAATATATGATGATCATCTGGTCAGAGTATGACTGGTTTGTTTAAAGAATCGTTGTTTACTGCGACGAATTTCTTGGAATTTCGCGACATTAATTCTGGTAGAAGTTACTGCGAATAAGCTACTTAGAGATGGAGTTGACTCATTCGTTTCCGTAACATTAACACTGATGATTATGTGATCATCGTACGACTAGTTTGTTAAATTATAAAAGAAGTGGTGTTTCCTGCAGCGAATGTCGTAGAAATTTCTTTTTTCTTTCTGTGTATAAGGTGCAGAAAATGAGCCATAAAGCTGACCTATTTGTTTCACGAATATTGCCACAATTTTACCGCAACGTTAACACTGATCATGTGATCATAGTATGACTCGTTTGCTCTAAGATTGGGTCTGTACAAAAAGAAACAAACAAACAAACAAACAATCTACGATTTTAAAAAACAGACAAACAGAAAAACAAACTTTTACTTGGGTCATATTTAGCTCATAGCTAACCTGAGATCGGGGCCAATTTTAGCGGTTTTCATACATTCTCTCTAACGGCTACCGCTGAAATTGGGCCTGATACAAACTCTCTCACGTTTGTGCTCGTTACGGCCAGATTTTGGCCGTAACGCTGATTGGCTGTTAGAACAATGCCACAAGGATCTGATTGGCTGTCAGAAACGTCGGAGGTTGAATGCGCGTATTTCTCGCGTGGTTGTTTTCGTGAATGATCCGCCGTCGGCGGAGGGAAAGGCCGATTTTGCTGTCTTTTTTATCGTTTTATGGTCTTATGGTGGTAGGAAAATATGCCTTAATATGTACCATGGAAATTCAGAAAATTCATATGGTTGTTCATATCTTCTCTGGATTTGCTTTATTTACGGAACTAATGTGAATGTACCGCCGAGTTGACTCCCTCTGCAAGTTGTTGACCCGGTAACAAGGTGCTTTTTGATTTACCAAGATGAAACGAGTGCAGATCAAAATACTGTCCATCTTAAAAGTGGTTTCATTTGAAAGTTCAGCCGGTAATGACTTTTCTGAACGCGGTACGCAAGCGGAGGCTCATTGCGAAAGAAACCTCAATCGCCAACTGTGGAGTATTAGACGCCGGAAAAGCATTGCATCGCTGTTCAAGTGGCGCTAGTGTTAAGGTAACAGACTTGTTGTTTGCCTTCGCTTTTTGTAAAAAACAAACCAGGAAAACTGCTGTCCTCGCTCGTTTGGCTGTTTGCCGTTTGCGATTTCGATTAATAAATTTAGCGAGCCAAGTTTTTAGATCTGCAGTAAAACAACAACACAAGTAAGGAGAACTACAAAGTGTCTTTGTAATATTGTTTTTCGTTTTGTTTATAGGTCAGTTGAGCATGTAGTTTTAGAAGTGTCCGTTTTTCCAAAGTGGTAGATAATATTTACCTGGATTTATAAAAAAAATATATTTTTTAGACGTTTGTTTTTCTAGTAAATTCGCAAATTGCAAGTGTACGCACGGGACTAAATCAGCTACATTAAATGCACTTGAGAACTCGTTTGTTCTGTTCTAAGATAATTTATATATCCTTTGAAAGAATGTGCGATATATTTCTCCAAGATTTTTAAAGATTTATGTACTGAAAATCGGGGAAAATTGCCGAGGAAATTTGGCCTGCATTTTTCCCACACTGAAAAGACAAGCAACGGAAGTAGTTTTGGTTGGCTGATTCGGCAAATGTCAATCAATCAAAAAAGTGGGCGGAAGACGTTTCGTAGAAGGTTTGTATCAGGCTCTATTGTCGTTTCGCCTGGCCCACCGGAATGTTATTTGCAAAGCAAAACGAAAAATAGAGCCTGATCTCAGGTTATCGGGCTCCCTGTGTATGTACTTTAACGTTTGGGCTACTTTTCCACTAAATAACCGTTAACCGTCAAAATCTCTAAAATGTAACCGTCAACTCTCAAAGCTACCACCCCATTGACACCCTCGCTGGTTGCTCATCTTATTTCAGCATAATAGGTTACAATTTTGAGAAGTTAACAACCATATATGAAGCGTGAACCTCGCAACGTGAGTTACTAAAGTGCAACGTGAGTTACTAAATATTCTATTTTTTTCTTATTTCCAAATGACAGAACTCTGGATAAGCTGAAGATCAAGACAGCGAGGAGGGCTTTCCAATGGCATTTGCAAGTCCCAATGATTCTCATCATGTTCTTAACTACTACAAGGTATAAATCTATTTTGGTATTTCTTAACGTGTGCAACTCAGAACTGATTTGGCACAATGTGAGTTAGAATAAAGAGAGAGAGAGAGAGTGTGAATGCAAACAGTGAAGTAGAGACGACAGGATGTGTGATTCCTGTAATTAACCCTCTCACTGCCAGAGTACATAATGAAGTTTTGTAAGATGACTCTGAATTTTGAGTCTGTGGACGAAATCCCGTGATGTGAAATGAAAGCTCTCTACCTGTACTCACACATGGTGCTATTTGTTTTTCAGAATTTTACAAAAACGGAAATTTGCAAACTTGGTCGAAATTTGCTTTTGGCTGCGTTTGGCATTGAAAGGGTTTATACATGCTATTAAGTTGTGAAAAAGCCAAAGTACCAGTAGCTACCTGTGAAACAAAGGCAATGTGTTTTATTACCCCTCGATCTGGCTTTATTAGATTCGATACTATAAGGGCTTCGAGTTCTTGTGGATGGAAAACCGAAAATATGTGGATACTCATGGAAGGGACTGTAAACATGAGCCATCTGCATAGGTTTCCAAGCTGTCGGAGAAACATACATTTAGTCATCAGTGGGTACACAATCACAAAAACTTTATTCACACCAAAATAAAATTGCCCTGCAGACTAGCAAATCAAAGCTATTCTATTCTAACAATAACAGTGATCTTATAATGGCGTCACTGATTATTGAAGAAGGATATGGAGCCATGTGCGATCTTAGATCCGCCATTTTGAATTGATTTAATTTTTTCAATCTTACCTAAAATCCTTATAAATCGAGGTAGTCTGGATTCCAAAGCCCTGGATTCCGGATACCACGAGCAAAATTTTCCCGGATTTTGGATTCTACAAGCAAGAATTTCCCAGATTCTAGAATCCAGATACCCTTACATGGGGCGAAGTACTAGTCAAACATTTTCGGACCTGTTTACGCATATTTAATCAAGCAGTGGGAAATTTACTTTTCTTCTAACGTTCGATTTTAAAATGTGATGGATCGGAGTAACTTCTAGTCAGTGCAGCTTTTTCAGACTGGACCACATTTTAAACTAGAAGAGGTTTGGTTCTGAAACCATATTTTTCCGTCTTCACATAATAGACTTAACACGAATGTTCGAGGCAGTGGGAAATTAAATGAAACTTGGAAAGGTATCTTTTACTTGCTGAACTAATTCTTGAACAACACATATCATTGGCAAAGGGAAAAAGGGAATTTTAATATAGTTTTGGAGGGAAAATGAAGCATATTTTACTTAAAAGTGGCAAGTAATGAATAACTAAGGATTTTGCTGTGACAGCAGCCGGTACTGTCACGTACTCAATGCAAATTGAACATTTGACTAAATTTGAGTCGAAACCTTCAATTCTGAATCGCGATGTGCACAGGTTTTATTGCATAACTTGACAAAATAGCTATTAATCTTTAACTAAAACATGCTTTTAGGTCTGACTTCGGTGCCACTTTGGAGAATTTTGTGATGATTCGTGCATTTTGCTTTCTTAATTGGATTAGTGAAATAAAGACGACCAGTTTTTGCTGATTACCGAAAGATAATACCTAAATGGTATTGGAACATTAAGAAGAAGCGATATGCTTCCACATGAGTGCAAATGGTCTAGGATTTGATGACCCGAAGTACTTTAAAACGATCGTTAAAAAACCCGTATAACAGAGACTAAAATTTGCATATTTTAGCCGCCAACAGTCGTCCAGCAATGAAATGCTGGGAATGACAGTAAAATAAACAATTTCCTCATTCTAACTGCAATTTCGTTACTAGGATGGATAGTAGTATTGATGGAAAAAAAATATAAGGCAAAAGTTTTGTCGAGTCCGAAATCGAGTACAACGCTTTTAAGGAGACTGCCCCTTAACTCTTTAGGGACGGGGGAGGGGCTCGGACTGAGCGGGGTTAAGCATCACAGTGGTAGACGTAAAAGAAAATATGTAGATAATCTTGCCAGAAATCACATCATAGCTATAACAGTTGTACAATCTGGTCTTTAAGATCCAAAGCAATGCAAAAATTCAGTACTCAACTTATCATGTCTTTCTTTTCTGTGTTTATTTCCTTTCATGATAAAGCTTTTAGGCTTAAAAGAAAATGCATCGGACCAAGACATTCTTCGTGCTTACCGTGTACGAGCACTAGAAGTGCACCCAGACAAGAACCCAGAGGATAAAGTCAGGGCCACTAAAGAGTTTCAGCTTCTAACAGACGCTAAAATAGTTCTTTTGGATCCTGAAAAACGGCGAAATCTAGATGAAAGTTTGATTGACAGCGGTGCTCGCAATTGCAATGCTCTACCCCTTTTGTGCAGTATTTGTGACAAAAGTAAATCCGGCGTAGGATCAAGATGTCTAAAAGGAAAGGGTCACACAAATCCTCTAATAGACGAATTCAATTCAGCTTCAAAAGAGTACATGTACAGGATGAAGAGGAAATCAGAAAAATACCAAACAAGAGATGAATTTACAATTACCCTTCAAGAAGTGCTTACAAAATTCGTTAACACCGATTTCCAAAGGTTGTATCCGTTAATCGCAAATCGAAAACAGAAGCCATCTTCAGCTGATCTTGGTACGTGCTCCGGATCAAGTGTAATCAGCAGCCAAAAGCCGTGTGTTCCTTCAGCGGCGGACGTTTTGAAGATCTTTAAACTATCTCTCGTTCGTGAGTCGAAGGGATATGCTCCATTGCATCCAGCTTCCACGGACATTCCACTTTATGACCTATCAAGTCTTTCTAGCAATGAGGTGGGACAAATTCTTCAATACTTTGGCCTTCCGAGTATACAGCCCCATAAAGAATCGGTTATTGAGGAATTGAGCTTGTATATTCCAAAATGTACCGTTGAGCACAAACATCCTTATGGCTACCAAAACAGCTCCAGGCATTTCTGCCAGCAGTGTGAACGTTTCTCCTTTTTCTCCTTTTTCAAATCTTTTCCTACCTGCTTCGCCTGTAAAAACGAATGTTGCTGGGAATGTATGTCCAGCGTTAGGCGAAAATTGCCCACAAGTGGCTCCTACGATTTAAGATCATTGTGTAAGACTTGTGTGGCCAGTTTCAATTCAACAGAACCAATGAGATGGCTGAAGCATGGCCAGTACTTGTTGCGAATTGGTGAAAAGTATTTGGAAGCCGCACTTGCGATGTACAACCTGTCCAGTGAGTTGTATCCATCTGAAACCGCCATCATAGAACAAGCTCGGGCACTCTTCATTTGTAATAGGCATCAACGGTTGGTCCGCTATGGCAAAGACGTACTTCGCACAGCTACGTTTGATCGAGTTAATGCTCGGAAGCTTCAGAAGATGGTCGCTGAGTCCCTAATGAATATAGCTGATAATGCTGACGACTACAATTTGCTAAGGAAAGCTGAGAAGTATGAGGAAGTTATTAATTGGACTGCGCACTTGTCTGACGAAATTGAGCCTTGGGTGCGTGATTTAAAGACAAGGGCGATGAGGGGACGACTGCATTGCTTTGAGGTTCGTGAAAGAGTCACGAAACAAAGAGCACAGATTCTATTCAAACAACTGACTGCTGCCATAAGAGAGGGCTCCTTGCTGAGGGTGTTCACCCTGATTCAAGACATGGATGAAGAAGCCAAGGGTGCGTGTTCAGATCAGTTGTCAACAGAGTCACCAGATTCTTACAATCAATACGGAAGACTGCTGTTACGACTTGCGAAAACTACGTTAGGAATAAAGGGGGATGCCGCAGGTGCTATTAGTCAAATCGCTGACATATTTTGGACGGGCTATTCTCTCTTTATGGAGAATGATAGCGGAGAACACATTTTCCACTTTGTGATCCATTTCACATGTCAGGTACTGAGAGAAAGACATAGCTTGCTCCTGGAGACACTGCATGAAATTACGCCCAAAAACTTTCTGCATTGTCTTCATCTTTCTGAAGATGACATCTTTTCACCACGAGACATAGAGGCCAGATGGTGGAAAAACGTTAGTGTGGAAGGCTGCGACATGAAGATGTTTCTCAAATATGAGTTGGCTGTAAAGAACCTCTCAGAGACCAAAAAATGGTCTCCATTCAAAGTTGCCCTTTCTTACTACGACCTAACTCGTGCATGTAAGCATCCTTCTCAACTTTTGCTGACACTGATTACTTCTGCACAGTGGTTTGCAAGACAAATTTCATTGCCCAATACTGACGGTCCATTGAAGTACTGGTGCAAAAAAATGATTCTGAAACTCACCAACCTGGCAGCTGCACATTCCTTCGAGTTTGGCATCCACCCGCATCTGCAGTACTATGTGGCAAGAATGGTGTTGGGGCTCCAATTCTATGCCTCTTCCAAGATACCTTACGGAAGCCAAGATGACTTAAAAATCTTTGGAGATCATTTAAACTGGCTTGTCGCTGCTGGGCGTCTGTGTCCAGTCCACAAAATGCCAATTGTCTCTCCAGCCGAATCTGTTATTTTCCACCTAATGTCACAGGACCTTTACTCCGAGTATCTGTTGAAGATCCAAGATGAAGTGGCACCACAGATGAGACCTATGTCGGAGGCTATACTGCGCTACCACATCTATGAGAATCACTGGAGAAAGCGGTGTCAACTACAAGATCCAACTGGGAATGGCCTCCGTTTAACTGCTATGACTGAATTGTTGCGTGCGGAAGAATGGTCATGGGATGGTGTTCAGAAACTTCTCCAGTGGAATTTGGTTCCATTGGATAGCGAAGGGTGGCTTGTTAGAAACCATCAGCTGTTAGAACCTGTTGCGTCAAGTGGTATCCATCAACTTGTTGGCTTAGAAATCAACAAGAATGACTTCAGCATCAAGATTTTAACGAGAAAGAAAACCAGGCGGTCATCCTCACTTCTATGCTGGCAGGATATTGCTGTTGGATTTACCATAGATTCTCCGGGATGTTTCTTCAGCCTGGAAGCAGTGACCCCCCGGGAAACGCTGTATCATCCTTTCAATAAGCAGATTTTTGGGCCAAAGGAATTGGAGGCAAGCAAATTCCTAAACACACTGTTCCACACCGACTACCTTCTTAAGCAGTTAAGTACTGGGTTCGAGATTTCATCGTATCCTCCTTTTCATAAGCGTCCGGCCCATGAAGGTTTACTAAAGGGTCTCCCTACTGCGTTACAGAAGGTTCTTTTGTCCATACCAAGTCGTGGTCCTTCTTTTAGCCGAGTTCATCGATTCTGGATACAAGCAGACGCCATGGAGTACGATATCCAAGAAAACGACGATTCAATACGTTGGTTGTTTGGAGATGTGGACATGACCGTTCGCTGCAAGCCCATGTTTCACTCACAGGATGGAGAACTGCACGACCAAGACGTTCTTGGCCCAGATTCTGACAGCCCGGAAGGAAAGTTCACTGCTGACTTTACCACACATTATGATCAGATCGGAAAGTATTTTCCCGAATTTCTTCGCTTGAAGGAACTTTGCAAAGTTCAATGGCTGGGAGCTTTCATAGCCAGCTTTGAAAGGAGTTTGGAGGAGCAAACCAAACGGCTCGAAAGTAGGGAAATGGATGCAAAGTATCGTGAAATATATGCCTTAGCTGTCCAAGGAGCTCAAAGTGAGAGCGAAAAACAACTGGATGGCATGTTGCGTGAAATAAGGAGCCAAGTCGGTTTTATCAGCGACGAAATGGTTCGACTTATTTATCAAAAGACCAACATTCCAGCTTCGTACCACGAGATTTACAATTGGGTGCGTTCTGGGGATTCGACCGTGATTGCAAAAGCAATAGCACGTAAACGTGTCCCATCTGTCTCGGAGATTAAGCAGCAAGTGATTAATGAGCATGCAATGAAACTAAGGCAGTATCAAAGATCAGTTTCTGCATTGAGGAAGAATTGCAAGGAGTGCCTTCCGTCCACTGATTTGGCCAATGGATGCTGTTGGGTGCCGGCTGTCTGCCACTGTGACGACGGAAAATGCATCTACGGAGGCGTAGCTTTGACACCAGTGCCACGCAAAGTTACTCTCAGAATGGAAAGTGATTTCAGCAGGGTGCCGCTCACTCCAAATTTCTTTGGATTTCGCGAGAAAGTAAAAAACCCGCCTGTGAAATCATTTACTCCTCCACGAATCAAGGGAAGAAAAGTTCCTTTGGGAAACGGCGCTGGTCCACCTAGCGATGACTCAGGCGACAGGGAAAGAAAAAAACCAAAGAAGAAAAAAGGTAAAAGTTTTAAAAAGCATGCATGATAAAGAGCTTGAGGAAACTAAGTCCATAGAGTGACGGCAACATGAACGACACCAACCAAAAGAATTGCTGAGCAGAGCAATAGTTTTGCACTATACTTTCTTTTTTTTAATTCAGGAAAAATTATTGGCCAACCTCTGCGAAGTAACTATTAAAATCTGTAAGTTAATCATAGAACGTGGACGACATCCCTACAAAATCAGTCCCTGGACGGTTAAACGTTACTTAAAAATTTAAATAAATTCAGATTAATTGAGGTCACAAAAAAATGTTTATGTAGATGAGTTTATAAAGTTGACTGGCAACCGTAAGGCAGCCAGCACCAGCCCCTCGAATCATCAAAGCGTAACCAGGACTTGTGGGTTGTGTGTGATTTATATACCGGATGATGGAGTTATGATAATTATTCCGACCTGGTAACATGGTAATATAAAAGAACAAGAATAAAGGTTTAATAAAAAGTGTTTGATGATTCCGTAGTGATTAGGGGTACCGATTGAAAAGATCCTTTTTTATGCCAGATTTTTGATGCGAACAAACTTTATTCATTAAAGTAGTTTATTCTTGTTTTTCACGTTACCATATCCCCACGCCAACCGGTATATAAGCCATACACAACGCAAAATCCCCTGACTCACTTTGACGAAGGGATGGTGCATGAAACGTCAGCCTCTCTATTTCCCTTAACTTTGGCCAATATACTGAACAACCCTTTTTCAACAACTGTCGTTTTTCAATTTTCTCATGTTTTTACCCAGATCGAGTCCACTTAAGAGCGACGGTCAAGAAAAATCGAGGAAAATCTTGAAAATTAAAAAAAAACCTAAAATATTTCAAATTTGTGATGATCACCATTATAAGTACCCTCCTAGGCTAAACTGTGTTTTCGAAGATTGTGAAATAAATGCCCTATACTGGTAGACGTACTGATAACACCCCTAAAGGTGCTCCATTACACTACGTTTAAAGCAACTATCGGGTTTTTTTTCTCTTTAAACAGGTGGTGATGGTGATACTAATTCAAAGAAGCAGGAACACTCGCAAGAAGAAATTAAAAAAGAATTCACAAAGATGAAAAACTTATTTGGCCTAAATGAGGAAAACAAAGTACAAAGCAAAAGGATAAAACCAAAGAGAAAAAGAAATTCTATTGTGCATCTGATAAAATGCAAGCCAGGCCGAGAAGCGTGGAAGACCCTTTTGGTTTTTCTCAGTGCGCGTATTCCATCAGGCACAGAAAGGGCAAAAGGCAAGTAGAAATACACCAGTATCTAAAAATTATGCAAGTCACTTGTAGGTCTAATGGCAACATACCCTTGCCACCTGATCATTTTTTACGTAAAGCGCCCTAGCTGAGACTTTTGTGTTATCTAAGAGCGTGTCCTCTGTAAAAACCGATCAGTGATTTTGGATCAAAAAATTTATTTCCCTTATATTCTGGGATATTAAAGCCTCTTCCTACGTAGTGTAAAAAACTGATTTCGTTTGACCAAAAATGCGAAATATATTTTTTTACGAATTTTTGAATTTCCGGCCGTATGGCAGCGGCGCCATAGCCTTTGAAACTGCAAAAATCGCCAACGTTGGAGGCGCTATAGAAAACAAACTCCTCGCTCAAGAAGCCCGATTTGCCTTTTTAGTATACAGATACACCACTCTAGATTTTCTAGCCATATCACAGTTCCGAAATATTTTTTTCATTTTAAAGGCAACAATCTTTTTACTGGCACGTGATATCGGCCTTCCATCAAAACGCGAAAATAGCTCAACTTTGAGGGCAGTTTTAAAAAGTGTGGCACCTGTCTGATCTTTATTTTCCCAAGCAACTGCTATGTCCTGAGGATTCAATCTCAATGAAAAACTATTTTTAGCCAGAACCTCGAGGTCGGGTGTCACGAATCAGTCACGCTCGCGGATATAGCCCTTACAAACTAAGTAACATGGCAAAAAAAAGTATATATATATAAAAAACAAACAAGAATAACCACGGAATCAGCGGCCAAGATGATCAAGAAACGACCTTAAAATGATAACGTATGTGAGGTCCATAAAACCATCAAGTGAAGTTGGACTTCACGAGCAGATCGACAAGGCAAGTGTTCGTTAAATGTCAGTCTTTGAAATTTGTGGAAATTCAAAGGGCAGGCAAGTTCGAAAACATAGTAGCACAAAACTTTTATTCGTATTTATGTTTTTCTATCAGTTCTAGTTTGTATTACATACAGATAGCAAAGCACCGACAAGTGTCACACTTTTTAAAACTCCCCTCAAAGTTGGTCGGCCCCCGTTCTTTCCGGAGACACGCTCTTAAGCGAGCTTTATAAGAAACAAAACGGCTGGCGCCCTGGGCCCAGTTGCTCGAAGCATGGTTAGCGTTAACCAGCGTTGAATACCTTGGCAACGTATTGGTTTTGATACTGCTTAACCAATGGTTAAAGCTAACCACTCTTTGAGCAACTCAGCCCTGGACGTTATAAATTGCACCGAGTTTGAATACTTTTGTTTCAAATCTAGTCTTAAGTTGTCAAATCAGATCCCTGAAATAGTTGCGTTACCCTATTCTACGCCCCTTCATAAACAAAAAGAATTGAAACAAGTTAAAACACAATAAAAACAGGTTAAAACACCTGCAATAAAACCTTAAAAACAGGTTTAGACATTATTAAAAGTCAGGTTAAAACATCGTGAAAAACAGGTTAGAACACAACTATAAAAAGTTTAAAACACCATTGAAAGCAGATTAAAACACCATGAAAACTAAATTCAAACCCCATGGCTGGATAAAAGCAGCGAAAACGCCCGTTTTAAAATATAATTTGGTACCTGTTCTAATTGTAGTTCTCAGATACAATTTAAAAAGTTTTCAAAATATATTAAAAAAAATGTTCAAAACAGTGTTTAGTTTGGTACGGGTATGTGGTAGAATTGCCGCTGCCTTTTCACTCTTTTCAAAACTGTTTATAGGAAATAATACATGGTATGTAAGTGTTATGGATGATAACACGTATGTTGTTAATAAAAAATATTGTTACATATTCTTGTGTTTTAGATAAGACTCAGCGCGATCAGACCGTAAAATCGGCTTTGGAAAGCATTGAGAAAGGCAGCGATCCATGGAAACATGCAGCATATAATAAGAAATGCTCAGAGTTTGGTTTTATTTACACCATAAAGTCTCCGTGTGGGAAGTTCATTTGGGACGTCGTTGCACGAGACAGTTCAGATGGAAGACCAACCATAGAACTAAATGCTACCTTTTTTAGCAAAGAAATCATCAAGATTCGTTTTGGCTCACCAAAAGATGGAGAATATTGAGTGTATTCTCACGTGCTCTGTATTATATTTTTTTGTTCTCTTTTTAAACGGAAATTTTACAGGGTTTTTGGACGGACTTTTCCAAGAGCTTAAAGGGACAGGTTCACTGTTCAGCGCATGCTCGCTTATCAAAATGCTGTTTTTCTACCGGGACATGCTGTATCGTCTATGCAAGAAATATGATCAATTCATAATGTTGCCAAGAAACCAATCCGCACACTCCCCTGGTAGTCACTTGCACTTGATCAACTTAAATATTTGCAAATAGTTGTAAATTAATCAACCACGGAATAAAACCTTTGGGACAACAATCAATTCAACTTTGTTAGTGTTGGCATAATCCACTTATTTTTCCTGCGATTTTAGTACTCCTCCATCCTACTTCCGGTTACTGTGAAATACATTTCACTTTGCAAAACACTCTTAGATCGCTGAGATACATGTGAGTGGGATTATTAACCGATAAAATTAATAATAAATTGGAAAAAAAGTAACTGAATTAATGAGCATGCGCTTAACCGTGAACCTGTCCCTTTAAATACCTTAAACAGTTCAGCCATCAAAAGCGGTCCCCTGGCATTCATTGAGGCACAGTATGAGCTAGGAATTTCAGTGCCCAAGTTTCCTTACCGTTTCATTAATGCCACATTCAATTTCTACAGGGACAGAAATTTTCTAGAGGTATGCAAGTTTTCCAAACTAACCCTCATCATTCGCCGAATTCGTTTTCTCGCTGGTGACGCGATTCATTTTTTCTGGTTCGAGGACATCACTATCTCTTATATTCTGTGGACTATGTACATCGGGTAGCAGTTACGGTGTTCGCGTGTGGCAAAAGCGGAGAAAATCAACACATTAGCAACAAAAAAAAAGTATGGTGCAAAGCATTGAATAGGAGTTACGTAAGCAGCCGCTTCGTTTTTCATCTGTCCCTCTCTTGCTTTTTTTTTGTTTTCATTTGTCGTCCACACTTTCTTCAACTACGCACTTAGGGTACCGGCGTAGAGGTACTTACGCCCCTGTACTAGAATTTAAAATGATCCAACCTCTTTTTGCATTAAAATGGTACGTATTCTTTAGAAATGGTTAAGAAGGCAAGAACGTCTCTAAACACAAGGATGTCTCTGCTTTCCTCGGTAGCATCAAACAAATTTGCTGTACACCTCATGTTTATTAGTTCATGGTGTGCCTCAAGCTTATGAAACTTCATCAAAATGTATATGTGGACTAAGAATTAGTGACACGAGGACGTCAGTCGAAAAATCTAGTTCCCCTTTCAAACTTGGAACTTCGCATGTGCCGAATTTCTTGCGGCAAAAGAGTGCTGTGAACTATAGCTACTCCTCATAAGCGTTGATAAGGGTGGATTTCCACTCTCGCGTAATGTTTACGCGCGTACTTGTAAATAAAATAGAGAAAATTTATGAAAGCCGCGCATAAGCGTAAAAGTAGAGGGAGGTTAACCTTTTACGCGTTTACCCGCGTTTTTCCATACATTACCTCTATTTCATTTAGGCGCGTAAAATTTACGTGCGTACGCACGTAAAAATCACTTGAAGGTGGAAATCCATCTTAGGGCACACATAAAGTTCGACGTCTAAGAAGGGGCATACATATTTTACTATATTAAAGAATTTAATTATGGCAAGTTAAAAGTAGTTTGTATTCGGCCTTTGGAATGTGTTTCCCTAACCTCTCGCACTGATTTTTAATGCGTGGTTTTTAAAGTTCACATGCTATTTACTTTTCTTAAAGAATTCGGAGTGGGCTCTGATTGATTAGCATATAAGTCTTACTGAGACATGGTGGATTTCATCAGTTGACTCTTTAGCGTTATAGTTGGCTACTTTTTAAAAGTTCTGCAGCGACAAAACATTAATAAATAAATAAGCTGTAAGACAAAACTTAGGTCGTATTCTACTGAGACCAACCGTTTCAACCAAAACCAGTTGTGGTTGATTTGGTTAAATTTGCCAAATGAACACTTCTTTCAACCGTTTCTGGCTGAAACGCGGTTATGACTGAGTATAGCTGTGAGTATAGTGATTTCTAGACTTCCTCGACTTTCTTGTCTCAGACACACCTCCAATTTTGCAGACGTTACTTAGACGCTAAGAACAAGGCTTCTAATGTTGCTCGTAGAGCTGAACTTGTTCGCTTACCTGTAAATATCACTATCAATCAAAAAATGCTCATTACCTAGCCTTAGCGAGAGGAATAGCTGATAGAAAAAAATTACTAAAACTACAAATAAGTAACCGCAAACTAATGATAGAACTAGGTATATACAATCAAACTATACTAGGAATTGTCCTTTATTGGATCTTTTAATTGTTCTAAATACTCTTTGATTAGGAAGATTGAGATTCTGATCCCAAATATTACCCAACCCAGTTACCTGTATGTGTACGTTTTGATCAATGAACTGATGAACACATCTAATTACCATATTAATTTACAATTTATGAAATATATTTGAGCTTGCTTTGACTTTCGCGACGAATTATTGACAAAGAAATTTAATTGGCCAGTGATAAAATTTTAGTTCTTATTCTTAAACATAATTATAAATAGCTTTTGCAATATTGTATGTACTTGTATGGTCCTGCAAATAAACTTTGTTGTTGTCGTGTTTCAAGGTCATTGAAAGGGTTTCAAGGAGGCTGAAGCACTGGATCCATTTAATAAAACTTTTACTAGTGTAATTTATTAGTGTAGCTTTTGTTTTAGAGTTTGAAAACAATAGCTACCCTTATGATTTATAGCTGTAAAAGTTTTACTAAAGTGACAGCCGGACTGTTGCTTCGTTTCTTATCGAAGAGCTTCTAGAAGGAGACGGTGAACCATAGGAATGGGACAAAGAACTAGAGTATCTAAGTTCAGAGTTTGTAGCTAGGATCGGAGAAGACGCCTGCAACACAGGCTACTTCGAGACTGTTGTG